AGCGCCCCATTAAGAGCTCACAGCGGCAGCCGGCGTCGCAGACCAGCAACAGCAGTCCCCCCCCCCCCCCCCATATCAGCCGGAGACTACTAGACTGCGAACTGCAAAGGGTACTGAAGCATAATTCACAAAGGTCGTGGTTCGAAGCCGCTGGTCGCTTTCTGTTATCCAGCAGAACGCCTCTTTCAGGTTTTGCTCGTTTTGAAGTGATACATGTCTCAAAAGTAGATTGGCCTTTCGACTTCCTTCCAAATGATACCGACCAGCGAAATTAGCTGGAGCGTCACAACCTAATGCGCGAAGAACTCTAGCCCAGACCTCCGTGTTCTGCACGACTATGACATCGGTTTTAAGCTACAAACGGAACAGCAAGTCCTGCGTTGCCAGCTCCCTCTGGCAGCGACATGTGCGACACCTAGCGCCGCTGTGATAAGATGCATCGGGCAAAGCTTGCGGACAGGAGCACACACAGAATCAAGTATGACAGTGGCTCGTAAGATAAGAACGTATGTCTAATGTTCGTCAGAATAAAGCACGTAGGATGTATAGTTCGTAAGGGTAAGTCAATGCAAAATAATGACAACAGCAATTATGGAAAAGGTGATATGATAAAATGGTCGTCAGCAGCAGTTTCTAATGCAAATGTTCGTGAGCGCAAAATTTTGCATAGATAGTCGGTTCGTATGGAGGTTCGTACGCAATTTGCTGTACCCAAATCTTGGTCCGATAATATTCGTTCAGCCAACATTTCATTTCACATAATCAAGTAAGCAAATGTTGATATTCCATAACTTATGGCGCACACAAGTTCTTACGTAATATTCGTCAGGTATGTGTTTTTGACAATAGCATGCACGCAAATCTTCGTATGCATACGTGTTCTGAACGTTAAAAGACAGATATTAACCATGGCGGAGGTGCCGGATGTATGGTCATGGCGGGTGTCACCCCCCCCCCCCCTCCCCCCCTCCCGTCGCGGGGAAAGGATATGGAGTGACGATGAACGGTTACCATTGTTTAGTTCAGGTCAGGTATTATGACTAACCTTACGTTCCTGACCTGAATCTTGGGCACTGAGACGACCAGATAATGAATCCAAATCAATTGGGGTTATTGCACGATGACCCCGGATAAAGGGAGCCAGAGGTTTACAAAAAAAAAACATGTCCACTACAGATCACCGTCGAGTTCTGGTACTTTCCTCACTTACCCCTCAATCTGGCCACGTCTTGTCGACAACTTCACCTGACGCCGTTGGGCACACAGCTGACGCCAGCTAACGGACGCGACGGGTCAGCTCGCTTTTGAACACGACAGGCAGACGGGCCAGTGACATTCGGTGTACATTGCTACCATAAAACAAATCGGATTTCAAAGAGAATATGCACCAGCTTGAATCCGTTTTGGTGTACCTTCTTATATTAAGACCACTGTTTGCACCCGACCAAACAATGCCCGACCAGCGTCATGTTTTCAACCGTACGCCGGATATACCTGGAAGTTACTCAGTGGAACTTTATACCTTAGATCACCCCCTGAAACATAATTTCGGCGAAATTGAAGAGCTGCCGGTTGCATAATTTGGTGTGTTGGTGGGTCAGCTGTCCCATAGACCAGTCCCATAGATGCTTCGTCACCATCGCACAGTTAATGTTTCTCCATGCATCGCCATATGCTTAACGTTGATCATTCTCGGAAAATGGGATACACTTGGGACCGCCCGATCGTAGCCTTTGCAGCTGATCAGCTTTTGCGTACGTGCATCTGCCAAACCAACTTTATCCGCTTCGAACACTTAGTAGTTTCTTTTAGATCTATCCGCTTCAAATACTTAGCATTTGCTTCAGTTTCATCCCATTGTAACTTATTTCTGCGAGAAACTGCGTACGTACTGTATGCACACGAGCTTTGTGCAAACGATCCTTATCCTGACGACACTTACATTAACGTTTTTTCACGTGCTTTATGTCATGCAAACATTGCTACGACATTTTGCGCACGCACTTCTGCCATACAAACATTAATACCCTAAGTGCGTTGCCCTTGTGAACTTTTGCATTGGTATTAATGCATACGTACTTTTTACACGCACTTTTGCCCTAAAACCATCGGGCATGATCAGGGGTCGGCTCAGGCTGTGGAGAAAGTGCGTAGTATAGACAAAGTACGTGTGACAAACGTTTCGCCATACCATTATGTTAGTATGCCGACTGTTAGCGCCGATAAAGCACTTCAGATCACGTTCGTGACGTCAAAAGATCATCAAACATGATCGTGGTAGGACTACAATATGCATGGAGAAACTGTTCATCGAGAAAACAGGTTTGGTAGTAAAAATGTTTTACATGCGTACAAGCTCGCATAAAAGGCAGCAGTACACAATCGCTCGCTCGCGAAAGTGCGTGCTCGAATGCTCCTCAGGTTAACATTTCTTTTAATTTCTTCGCACTGATCGTTCATGGCAACCTCCTCCTGATACATGTGCAGGCAACTGGGCATGGAAATCTGCACTGAAACTTGCACTTGCATTTCGTGACATCAAGAAGCTTGTTGAATTTCGTTATGGCGGTGTTGCTGTGCCACTCTCTTTCTTTGGTTGATTTGTAGCTGATAGCTCTGTTGGGATGATATCAATCCCTCTCGACCAATTTTGTCACGTATTTTTTAGATCATGAACAGAGATCGCTTCGTAGGTCCACAGTTCCCTGATTTCTACCGTCGCGGTCTTGAAGAGGGTATTAATGTGATTCTTCTTCGATTCGCTCAGCCGCCTGATGTGGCTCAAGGCTTTCCCATAGTCGGCGA